GAGAGAGAGAGAGAGAGAGAGAGAGAGTTTAAATACTCCATCCCACATCACAAATGGACAGAATCAATTATATTTATATGCACTTTCTGTTAGTGGAGTAGAAAAGAGAGAGAGGGTTTAAATACTCCATCCCATATCACAAATGGCTAGAATCAATTATATCTATATGCTCTTTCTGCTAGTAGAAAAGAGAGAACAAATTTAAATACAGGGGGGCAGCCCCTAGCACCTCGGTACAGAGCTGAAGAAAATCAGCTATAGCGCCCATCAGTGATCTGCTCTTAAATTAAGAACGTTAGTTAATATACAATCTCAGTTCAATCTGAGTTATAGATTCCTCGCAAGACACAAATTCAGTTTGTTCATCTGAAACTTCACTTCAGGCTCCTTGTTGCTCGGCTACTGCCTGCTTTTTCCAGCATCACACGGCAGACCACATTTTTTTTTGAAACGAGCACGGCAGACCACATTGCACTCTAGGCTATGTGTTGGTCACCTTTCATCCGCGGCTGCTCGCGCTCAGCACTGCGGCTTACTTGGCACGTCATGCAGCAGCCACGAGCTCGACGACGTGGTGCCGCCACGCGACGGTGGCGGCCGTGGCATTGTCAGCCGCTCTTCCCTCTTGCGGTGATATGCGGCAATGGCAGCAGCGGTCACCATCTCATCCGCAATGGAGCTACGGTTACGCAAGGTAATGGTGATGACGAGAGAAGGGCAACGTCGAGCGATCGACGACGGCGAGTAAAGGATCGATGTCTTCTTTCTGAGCTGGGCCTCATCTTTTGTAACTGACCATATACTCCTACTTCACTGGATGAAGAACAGAGCAGGACGTAGGGTGTTACATCTGCACGGTAGCCTGAATCTATGCAAATAATGTGTCTCTGACATGAAGTAATCTAAAGTGTTTTAGCCCTTGGTCCAACAACTATCGGATGTCCCCGGAGATACCTTCGTCGAACAAGCAGAAGGGGTCCCTCTGATATCGACAAGTTCAGCATCGACAACCATCCCCCAACAGGCTAACATCCATCCGGTCTAGTCCACAATGACTTTGGCGCCGCGGCTCCCGGGACGGCTCAAAGTCAGACTCCGTCTACACTCCCTCCTAACTCTCCACTAGTCATAAACCCATCATCACCCGTAGCTCGTCGAGTCACTGACCGCGACACACACACAAAAATCCAACGAACCGCGTCGAGCGTCAACACGCCTCTGGTTAGCCCGTTATTATTCCCCGACGAAACCGTGCTCCATCCACCAACGAAAGAACCTACGTCATCCTGCCATGTATATTCGTCTACCTTCTCCTTTTCGTGTACGTACATGTACTCTACATGCGGTATACATACCAAGTACGTATGTATGTTTGTACTCCTGCTAGTGATAGGTTTTGTAAGAAGTGGTCAAAGAATGGATCAGTGGATCAGCACGCGCTGGGCATGAACCCGACGGTGCCGCCGTCGAAGCGCACCGCGAAGGAGCGCTGCTGCACGTTGCCGAGGATGGCGGCGTCGCCGTCGCCGCCGTTGGGCGCGAACGCGAGGCACCCGCTCGACAGGATCCCGGGGGCCTCCAGGGCCAGCGTCGCGCCGCCGCTGAACGTCAGCGCCACCGTCGGCAGCGTCACCACGCCGTACCGGCTGAAGTCGTAGCAGGTGTCCAGGATCCCGTTGGCGGGGGCGGGCGGGTACCCGTAGGGCGCGATGGCGCCGCGGAACGCCGACCGCAGCGCCGCGTACGCCGTCGGCGGCAGCCGCGTGATCACCGTGCCCGTGTCCACCACCGTCCCTCCCGCGAACGCCGACGCCGGGACGGCCACCGGCTGCCCGCCCACGCTGATGCCCGCGAGCATCACCATGTAGAACGTCGGCGCGGACCACGCCGTCAGCAGCCCCGTCGTCGCGAACCCCGACGCGCTGCTCGGCCCGCCCAGCGTCAGGTACCCCGCGGAGCTCGGCTTGGAAGGGAGGCAGTAGGAGAAGACCCCGCCGTACGCGCCCGACGCCTGCGACTTGAGCGACATGGCCTGCCGGCCGAGCGCGAGGAGCCCGTCGATGCCGGCGAACAGCCCCGCCTGCGCGTGACCGCAGCCGAAGAGGAACGTGCCCACCGTGCTGCCCGGCGTCAGCGCCAGCGTGTCGGAGCCGTACACGCCGGTGGTGTTGGACCCGTCGCCGTAGCTGACCACGTACCCGCACTGAGTCCCCGAGCAGCCGGCCTGGTAGATCCCAAGGTCCGAGCACGCGCCCGCGCCGCACGGCACGGCGGAGTAGGTGGACGACTTGGCCGGGTCGAAGAGCTGGTCCCTCTGGCTGTAGCACGCCGGCGCGGCGCAGGGCTTGCACTGCACCCACGACACGTCGCTGCCCGTGTCCACCTCCATCGTCTGCGACACGCCGGGCGTGCCCAGGCTCACCGTCACCACGTACTGGAACGTGCCGACGCCCATGGTGGTCGGCACCGTCGCCGACCTGGAGCCGGCCGCGAGCTGCTGCTGCCGCTGCTGCAGGCCCCCCTTACTCGCCCCCCGCGCGCCGCCGCCCCCCGACAACCGCCCCTGGATGTACTCCACTCGCCGCTGGTCCGCGCGTTGCACCTCGGCGAACGACGGGGCCGCCACCGCCGACGCCGCCGACGGGCCGCACGGGCCGTGCCGGTGCGCCAGCCGCAGCACCGCCAGCGTGCCGTTCCCCTGCCGCGGCGGGATCACTGGAACCGGAAAAGATCCGAGCCAACAAACGAATCAACAACAACTCTCCCGAAAGCTACTAACCAGCTCTCTCAAAAGTCAAGAAAAGCAAGCGCAGCGGCGCTACCTGGGCCGGGTTCGTCGCAGGTCGCGCTCGACGCGGCGAAGCTGGCGGTGGAGACGGTGACGTAGCCCGCCGCCCCAGCGGCGCCGGCGGCAACATGGCGCGGCAGGAAGCAGAGGAGGAACGACGACAAGAGGAGGGCGCGGCGGGCCGGGGAGGCGAGAGGGGAGGAGGCCATGGCGCGCGCGTCGGCTCGGCTGGGGCCGGACGACGGGGACAAAACGCGGCGCCTAAATAAGTCAGGCATGAAAGATATGAAGCGTTCCTACTCCATCGAGGGAGCCGCGTGGTAGTTTATATTAATGTGTGGCCGAAGCCTGACTTGACGTACAAGGTTATGACAGAAAGAGTTTGGATAGAATACAAGAGAAGGAAGGAGGTTGAGATTACAACTCTATATTCTAACACCCTCCCTTAATCTCAACTAACCTAAGTTAAGATTACTCTTGAATTCTTCAAATGGTCTTGCTGGTAGTGCTTTTGTAAAACCGTCAGCCACTTGATCCTTAGAAGGAATAAATCGAATCTCAAGTTTCCTTGCCGCAACCCTTTCTCGTACAAAGTGAAAATCAATTTCTATGTACTTTGTCCTGGCATGGAACACTGGATTTGCAGACAGATATGTTGCTCCCAAATTATCACACCATAAGCATGAGATACGATTCTTCTTGATTCTCAATTCCTCAAGAAGTGATTCAACCCAAATGATCTCAGCAGTTGCATTAGCCAAAGACTTGTATTCAGCTTCTGTACTTGAGCGTGACACAGTAGCTTGCTTTCTAGCACTCCAGGAGATAAGATTAGATCCAAAGAACACTGCAAAACCTCCAGTTGATCTTCTGTCATCACTACATCCTGCCCAGTCAGCATCAGAGAATGCACTCACAAGAGAAGAATTAGACCGTTTGAAATGAAGTCCTATTCCCATAGTATGTTTCACATATCTCACAATCCTCTTGACAGCTGACCAATGTGCAGAAGTAGGTGCATGAAGATATTGACAAACCTTGTTGACAGCAAATGAGATATCTGGACGTGTGAGAGTTAAATATTGTAGTGCTCCCACAGTACTCCTATACCTTGTATTCTCCTCCTCTTGAAGTGGCTCACCCTCATATGCTGAGAGACTTTCTGAGGAGGATAAAGGTGTAGGCATTGGCTTGCAATTTTTCATCCCCATGCGAGACAGAAGCTCAAGAATATATTTTTCCTGATGTAACACAATACCATCTTGAGTTTTCTTGACTTCAATACCCAAGAAGAAATGCAAATCACCTAGGTCCTTCAAGGCAAACTCTGAGCTCAAATCATGCAAAAGAGCATTAGTAGCATTTTGTGAAGAACTTGCAACTATGATATCATCAACATATATAAGCACAAAAATGACTACTCCTGCCTTGTTATAAATAAACAAGGATGTGTCAGCCTTGGAAGCAACAAAGCCAAGATATTTTAACTGTGAGCTCAATCTGGAATACCATGCTCTGGGTGCTTGCTTTAGACCATAGAGTGCTTTATCAAGCTTGCAGACATACTGTGGCAATTTCTTACTCTCATACCCAGGTGGTTGTCTCATAAACACTTCCTCTTCCAGAACACCGTGCAGAAACGCATTCTGTACATCTAGCTGCCTTAAACTCCATCCTCTGGATACAACAATGGCTAACACAAGTCTGATAGTTGCAGCTTTCACAACGGGACTAAAGGTGTCCTCATAGTCAATGCCATAACGTTGCTTAAAGCCCTTTGCAACTAGACGTGCCTTATATCTGTCAATGGAGCCATCTGCCTTCTTCTTAATTCTATACACCCATTTGCAATCAATAATATTTTTACCTCTCTGATTTGGTACAAGATGCCAAGTCTTATTCCTCATGAGCGCAGAATACTCCTCATCCATTGCCTTTTTCCATTTAGGATCATCAAGTGCATTCTTCAACGATGTTGGTTCTCCTGAAATACACAACATTCCATATGGTATAGTTCCATCTTTCCTAATTTTAGGATTCCGTATACCTTTCTGTAGCCGGGTCATAACACGTGAAGAAACCTCTCGCTGCACCGCTGGTATACTTGCCACGGAAGATCCAGGAGAATCTGCTGATGCAGTGGACTGATTTGTCGTCATATGCGCAGGGGATCCTGTGGCTTCTGGTGTGGCTGCCCCTTCTGCAGGCACTGGCGCAGAGGATCCGCCACCCGACCGCGACTGGAGGCGCACGTGGTGCGGGGAGGATCTGGTCCCGCCGCTAGTCCCGCCTGATGCTGGCGCGCGGGGCGAGGGGGATTCGGCCCCGCTGCTGGTCCCGCCTGAAGCTGACGCGGCAGCACGGGAGTGGCCCGCCCTGGATCCAGGATTGGAGCCATCAGGGGCTTGATCCGAGGCGGATGCGGTCGCGTGATCCGAGATCTGCGCGCGTGCAGGGGTGGCAGGCACCGCCAGATCTTCTTCGTCATCTGTGCCAGCTTCGTCTCCTTCCTCAGCATGAAATATAGGATCAAAACCAGCCATATTTTCGAGATCTTGGTCATTTTGAGCACCGTTTTCTCCAGGGACCTGCACAGGCATAAGAGAAAGACCAGTACCAGCAGGAATATCATCACATTGGTTAGTACAATTGTTGTTGCCCCCATGATCAAAAGACCGAAGATGTGAAGGAAGAAGAAGAATTTCTTTGCGGAGAAGTGCACCAGCATTAGGATGAAGGGATGCAAAGGGAAACACGGACTCATCAAATACAACATCTCTGGATATATACACCCGACCAGTAGGAACATCAAGGCACTTGACCCCTTTATGCATGGGGCTATAGCCTAAAAAGACACACCGTTTTGAGCGGAAAGCGAGTTTGCGTGTGTTGTAAGGCCTAAGATTGGGCCAACAGGCACAACCAAAAATACGAAGAGATGTATAGTTGGGTGTGACACCAAGAAGTCGTGTAATGGGTGTTTCAAATTTGATAACTTTACTTGGAAGCAAGTTGATGAGATATGTAGCAGTTAAGAATGCTTCATCCCAAAATTTAAGCGGCATGGAAGCATTTGCTAACAAGGCAAGCCCCATATCAACTATGTGACGGTGCTTTCTTTCAGCGGATCTATTTTGTTGGTGAGCATGAGGACAAGATACATGGTGTGATATGCCAAGCTTTTGAAAGAAAGAATTTAGTTTTTCATACTCACCACCCCAGTCACTTTGCATAGCAATGATTTTAGAGTTCAGTTTGCGTTCAACAAGATTTTGGAAATTGAGGAAAACTTGGAATACATCAGATCATTTTTTCAACAGATAAATCCAAGTAAATTTACTACAGTCATCAATAAAACTTACATAATAGGAAAATCTACCAACTGAAATAGGAGTTGGCCCCCATACATCTGAAAATATAAGTTGTAAAGGGGCAGTAGACACACTAGTAGAAATTGGGTAAGGTAATTGATGACTTTTTGCTTGTTGACACGGATCACAAACTGACTCACTACTAGGCTCATAAGAGAGTTTATTTTTGCTAAGAACATATCTAACTATGACTGAAGATGGATGACCTAAACGACTATGCCACCTTGATGTAGATAGCTTGGTGACAATATTTGCTTGTTTATTGGACCATGAAGATGATGATGATGATAATGATATGAGTGCGTAGAGTCCTCCCACGCACCGTCCTCTAAGAATGACTCTCCTTGTTTTCAAGTCCTTAACCAAGAAAAAATAAGGATAGAATTCAATAAGAACATTGTTATCAAGAGTGAATCGATGAACGGAAACAAGATTTTTAGAGGTTTGAGGAACATGCAAGACATTGGTCAAGTGTAAATTTTTCACGGGGGTTTTAACAATTGAACTACCAATGTGTGTGATATCCATACCAGAACCGCTTGCCGTGCGAATTTGGTCGCCTCCATTGTACTTCTCCCGCATCGTCAACTTGTCAAGTTCACCTGTGATGTGGTTTGTTGCTGCACTGTCAGCGTACCAGTTGGTGTCCACGCCATAGGAGACTGCATGCACCTGCTTTTCTTCCTGGTCGTTTTCTTCATAACGCCATCAGCAAACTCGTGCACCTCCTGGATGGTGTCTGTAGCATATCTGACATTCTGAATAGTCATGCTGTTGCTCACGAGCCTGCTGTTGCTGTTGTTGTCGAGGACGACCTCTGAATTCGCCGCCTCCATTGGAGGAAGACGACTGTCGGTCACCGCGGTCACCACGATCACCACGGCCACGGCCTCTTCCTCCACGCCCGCGAGATCTGCCACGGGACTGGCCACGGCCTCTGTAGACCGCATTAGCGGATGAATAGAACCCGCCTGAAGATGAGTCGCCTAGCATCTCCATCCTTTGATCAAAGGCAGCAATCTGGGCAAAAAGATCGTCGGCTGTGATGATGTTTTTGACAGCGCCGATCGCCGCCACCACGGGGTCGTAGTCGCGGTCCAGTCCGGCCAGAATATAGTCCACCATCTCCGGATCAGATACGGGACGACCTGCAGCAGCTAGTTCATCCCCAAGACTTTTCATCTTCGCCATATACGCCGAGCTTGACATCGAGCCCTTCTTGATATTGGTGATGGCGATTCTCAGATTAGTAATCCGAGACTGAGATTGTGAGGCGAAGAGATTTGTCACCGTCGTCCAGAGCTCAAAGGTGGAATCTTTCCCAACAACTTGTGCAAGAATTTCTGGAGACATGGAATTGAGAAGGTATGATAGAACCTGCTGATCTTTGGCGATCCAGGGTCCGTATAGGGGATTCGGCTCTAGGGCCGTGGTCTTGTCTGCCTTCGTGATCTCCACCATCTTGGGTGGAGCGGCATCGGTGTTGTCCAGGAGCCCCGTCACCTGCGCGTCTCGCAGGGCTGGGAGGACCTGCGTCTTCCAGAGGATGAAATTACCTCTTGCGAGCTTCTCAGACGGCGGCGATCCAAGGTTGAGGGAGACGCCGGCGGAGGAAGCCATGGAGACGATGATGTGTGGTTTCTAGGGTTTTGGATTGTGGCTAGATGTATGAGAAGATGTGGCTCTGATTATCATGAAAGATATGAAGCGTTCCTACTCCATCGAGGGAGCCGCGTGGTAGTTTATATTGATGCGTGGCCGAAGCCTGACTTGATGTACAAGGTTATGATAGAAAGAGTTTGGGTAGAATACAAGAGAAGGAAGGAGGTTGAGATTACAACTCTATATTCCAAGGCGGACTGGTTGGGGGCGCGCCCGATTCCTTGCACCCATCACGCGGTGGAATTCTGCCGTCCTACGGCCGGGTGCGTGCGTGATCGTGCCGTGCCCGCTCTTTTCCACTCCCCACGAAGCATGCAGAGCTTCTGAAGGCGACGTCACGTAGCAGAGTCGGGGCGACTCGTCTTCCTCTTCCGGTACGATCCCAACGACGACGGACGGTGGTTGGCTGCTGCGTGCGCGTCCGGTACGCACGCACGTATCATCGCGCACTAGGCGTCGCGTGGACCTTGGAGCCGTGTGTTTCTGTACGTGCTGTCTACCGAATCGTGGCAGCAGGTCCAGCAAGATGTCAACTCGTGGACTAACCTGAGGAGATGACTGATGACATGTCCTCTTTCACTCTCGAGCGGGTGAGATGGCGAGCTCGCGGCCTACTGATCATGATCAGATTCGTTTTGCGTGAGGTGAGGCCTCTGTCGAAAAGAAGACGCAAAGCTGAGGGGTACAACGTAACGTAACTTTGGGGGGCCTTTGTTCCCTGACGGAGACCTGTATCTGTACCCACCACCATCTTATTCTTGCGGGTCCGCGGATCAGAATTCAGAAAACCCGGGGCCGCGAGCGTCACAAGGCCGATGCGCCCGGTGCCGGCGAAGGCGTAATTCGCTTTGCCTCTCCTCGTCTCCGCCTTCTGTGTTCGGATACGAAGACACGGCTTGCTTCGCCTTCCCTTCGCCGCAAGCGCCTCGCCCCTGCGCTGAAAACATGCCGTGGCGTTGCGTTACAGCATGGCTGCATGCAGTGGTGGTACATGGCCAAACACCCAACGGCCGGGGTACGTGGCTAAGATTGATTTGGCTACATGTTTATTTCAAAAAAAAAAAAAACGTTCCACTTAGCTAGGTCTATAGGTGGTGGAGATAGCACCCAGGGTTTGTGCGAGCTGCTGGGTCACTGAAAGCCGCGGGAGTCCAATCGTATGCTCAATGATCAATACGATAAAACGGTTTCTAATATAGCTGCCAAACTTGTGTTCCTAGTAAGGAGCACCGCAATCTTTTCTACGGGATTGGACGGTTTTTCCCAGGGTCCAATTCGTTCTGCTGTCAGTAGGCTATCGCAAATCATTTACTTGCTGTGTCTCAAATTATAAGATGTTTTAACTTTTTTCTAACCGAATGGATATAAAGGTGTTTTAGTGTGGTTTTCACTCATTTCAGTTTGTATGTAGTCTGTATTTGAATGTCCAAAACATATTATAATTCGGAACGGAAGAAGTGACTTCTGCAGTCACACTTTACCTATGTTAGGCATCCTACTGGTCGCTGATTTTCAATTTCGTTAGCATATTTTGTTATGCCATCATGATGTGAGGTTTGAAAAAAAAATATCTTGAAAGCGCTAGCTTTGCTAGGACTCTGGGTTCATTTGCAAATCTAGGAGCACTTGTACTTTCTCTCTTTTTTTTTAAATGGAGACATAAGATTTGCCTTATTTATTAATTTAGAAGAGAATAGTGTTTGTGTTTATTTTTTGTCGTTGGCGGTAACCCAATGTCTTGCCTCGAGCTTTATGGTGTTGAGCAAGATTGAAGGTGGAGCACTCTTGTGGCGGAAAACCCAGGAGTTCCTCTCATTTCAAAGGGTCCACTAATGAGCATGGCAACTGATGTCATAGTTTTTTTTATTGGACACACACAGACACACTTGGCAGAGAGTTTAATTTATCAATCCTTCATGGGATATTATAAGTGCCAATAGATGATGTCCAAATGCCCAAGATGAAGCCAATCATTCACCTAATTTCAAAGCCTAAGGGGTGAAGCGGCAGTTGAAAAAAGGCGCATCCTGGACTCCTGTTCTCTTTTGCAAAGAGAACAAAGTCCATAATTTGGCCAACTTATCGGCGGTCCAAATCTGGTTTTGGATGGGTAACCACGCCAAGAACTTTACTTTAGGTTGAGCCCAAGCCTTCCAAACCGTGTGCATCATACCGGAGTAGATTGTGCCCAAGAATTGCGCAGAGTACGCGGAAGCCGGCGTGCATTGGCCATTAGCCGTGTGCTTCCAGTTGTCATCTTGGCATTTTCTTTAAGGTGGAAATCACCAATAAGCGCCCAAAGAGCAATGAATTGAGGGAAGTGGGCCATGGAGAGCATGCTAGCCATATTTATTTTGGAGACCTAAGCGTTCTCATGAAGTGCCTCCGCGCCTTTCAATTTTTATGTGAAGACGCCTCAAATACGAGGGGGGAAATTTCCTTGGGCTTATGGTCATGGACCCAAGATGCATCCCAAAAGACGGTGTTTGCTTCATTATCGACGGTGATAATTGTGGAAGCGTAGAAAATATCAAGATCCACTCATCACAAAGATTTCCCATTATGACCCATGACTGGGTTGGCTCTTTCTATTCATACCTAGGCCATCACAATCTTAGGAGCACTTGTATTGGTCTCCTGCAAAGCTAACCATTGGATGTCGCATTGATGATATTCTTTGCTAGGGCGTATTTTACTTTTGCTTGTGGGTGCAAGCGCGATACATGTTAGTCATCTACTCCCTTGTGTCGGGTTTATAAGTCGGACACCGATTTTTAGATCTTCGGTTTTTTGACAAAGGAAAATTTTATTGACTTATAATGAGATATTGAGGACATACAAGCACAGCGAACACACTTAGGATACCCAGCCAACACCAACGCACCCATACAACGGATCACATAGACAAAGAGCAATGCCATACAAGACTGAAGTTATGCCTAGGCAGAAAACTCCTGAAGTGATCGACGAAATGCACCAACGACCACCATGGCCCCAACCATATCATGACAACACAACTCTACGAGCCATGCGGCAGCGGGTGACAGATTTGTATCTGACAACACCACCACACGCCTTCTCTTACTTCACGGTCCTCGCCTGTGGCAGCCACTGGTTGGCCAACATACCGAGGAGGAGGAATCTTTTGTATGGTAGGACAATGCCTTCGTCAGCAATTCCCGGCGCCACGGCCGCACACATATCGCCTTGTGTCATCGTGTGTAAACGATGTGGGATCCCGTCGCGCAACAGACACCACACAGCTAGAGGAAGCCTTCCCGCGATCGCGGATCTGGGGCACACGGGGGCTAGCATCGCCACATGACGACGGGGAAGCACAAGGTGATGGATCCTAGGCACATGACGTAGACCGGTGACGGAGGGTTGAGGAAGCCATAAGATTGGGGGAGGAGACGGGACTAAAAAGGAAGGTGGATCGTCTCCCGCCTCCAGGCAGGCAGGATGGCGGCGATGGATACTTTTTGGGTGACAGTAGCGGGGGCTTCCAAGGCAAATTTGTATTTTGGTCCGGGTCTAATTTTTAGGTCTTTAATTTGACTAGTGAAACATATATGTGCAGCGTTGTCAAGATCAGAATTCATAAACCCGGGTAGCGGTTGTGACTTACTAATTGTTTTTTTAGGAAAAATGACTTACTAATTATTGTTCCTTGTGCCAGCAAAGATGTAATTTAGTTTTGGTCGTAGTCTCTGTCTTCTTATTCAGATACTATTAAAGAGGATCTGAAACCCCTTTGAGAAGGCTTTTTTTAGTTAGACAGAAGAGCTTCTTTAGATTGTGCACATACTTGCACTGGAGGTTATTACTCCCTCTTTTCATACATGCACAATACCAAATATATAAAATGTGAAACTAAATCTTATGATGAATCTAATGATATACATTCTAGATGTAAATGTTTTTCTTCACAAACTTAGTCAAGGTTTTGGGGGTTGACTTTTTTCAAAAAACCTATATGCATTACATTATAAAACAGAGGGAGTAACTTGCAGCGGAGATATCATTCAGTTTCCTGCTACCAGACCAGTGGGTCAATGAAAGCCATAGTTATTGGTCCAGTTGTACGCTGAGAGTGTTGTTATACCAACTGTCAGCTTACAAGTGTACCAAAAATCTCACACAAGGGCTAGAAGAACCAATATACTCCATATTTTCACGGATCAAATTCATTCATCCTGCCACTACGCTACCGGACACACATTATGGAACGGAGGAAGTAGTATTTACATATTTATTCGGAGATATTCGATGGAACATGTGCCTTACAATTAATTATTTTTCATTGCTCAGATAAACCTCCCAAAACATACACTTCCACGCAACTCCTGACCAGCAGGAACCCTACAGCCTAGAGACCATCCACAAGAAAATAAGATACGTAGAAAAATAAATAAATTATCACAGCTGGCAAGCCAAAGAGGCCAAAAAAACTGACAGTCGTCTCATCCGATCGTAGCATCGGACACGTCATCAATGCATGCAGAGCAGTAGCGTGTCACAACCCTCTGAACATCAGCGGCCTCGTGCTCCCGAACGCCATCTCCCTGCGGCCCATCTCCATCCCGCAATGCTTCGGGCCGCCGGATGCCGGCACACCGCGGCGCGGGCGAGCTTCGGCCGCTGCAGTGCTGCTCGCCACAGCTTCCCATGGCGACCCCGACGGCGCGGCCGCGGCCACGGCCACGGCCGCCGCTCGCTTGTACTTGCCGGACCACTTGGCCTGCACGTACCGCGCGCGCCTCCATGGCGGCACGTGCATGCCCGCGCCCCGGATGGACTCCGCTGCCGCCGCGCACATTGCCGCGGCCACCTCCTTGAACGTCTCCGGCCTCGCCACGAGCACCGTGGGCAGGGCGAGGAGGAGCTCCTGGTACTCGGCGCTGGGCCTCGCCGTCTCGAACTCGATGGCGAGGTTGACCTCGACGATGTACCGCGACGTCGACGCGCCGGCTGCGATCACCACGTCCACGTACTCGTGGCTGCCCGCCGGCACGCTGCTTCCTCTTTCCCACGACGATCTGCAGACACCTGCGTCGACAACAAAAATGTCAATTTGTGTTGCTTAACACTCTTCTATTCGAGAGGAATCTGGAACGCACTCTGAAATTAACCGGAGAAGTATCTCAAAGCAAGGGGGCACTCACCGGCATCGAACCCTCTCGCACGGAGCCGGGCGGCGACGAGCTTCCTGACCGCTTCACCGCCAGCGACGTTCGGCCCCGCACCCACGACGGCGCGCTCCGCCTCGGCGCGGATACGCGCCGCTGCCGCGTCGGCCGTCGCATCTGCCAGCGCCGCCTGCAGCGCGTCGACCCACGTGGCACTAGCGGGCCGCGGCGCCACGGCTTCCTTGGCGACGGCGTCTTCGCCGTACCCGTTGTAGAACTCGTGCACCAGCTCCACCAGGCCGTCGTCGTCGTCGACGTCCTCCTGCCCGGAGGCGGACGACGGCGTGGTGCCGCCGAAGAACGGGCCGCGCAGCCTCGCCCTCGCCGCCTCATCCAGCGCCGCCGTGGCCTTCTTGTACGATGTTGGCGAGGACCCCATGATCGGCGGCTCCGGCGGTTGCTGCGACGTCGGAATAAGCATGGAGATCGGGCTCGCCGCCGCTGGTGCGTTCGCCACCAGTTTTCCAAAGCAGTTGCAGGTTTTTGGAGTAGCGTGTATCCTGCACGGGGGCGGGCCGTTTCTATATATGTTTCGGGTAGGTGCGTCTAAGTTCGTTGTGCGCGGTTTGCACGTCCAGGTTCAGTGAATCTGGCGCGCATGGTAGCCGTGCTTGCGTTGGGCATTCTCTGGGTCGCCGCATCGGGTTTGCTTACCACTTATGGAAGCTTCAGTGAAAAGCACCCGAAAAAAAAAGCTTCAGTGAAAAGGATACTAGTGGAGTAGTAGCTTAGTCCATTGGTGCGTCCAGATACATTACATGCTACTGCGTGTTTTTAGCAGGGTGATGAACTGGAGTGATATTCAGGATATACTCCCTCTATCATAAATTACTTGTCGTAAAAATAGATGCATCTCGAACTAAAATATGTCTAGGTACATTCTCCCTCCGTTCCTAAATGTAAGTCTTTTTAAAGATTCCACTACAAACTACATACGGATGTATATATACATATTTTAGAATGTAGATTTACTTATTTTGCTCCGTATGTAGTTTATAATGAAATCTCTAAAAAGACTTATATTTAGAACAGAGGGAGTACATTTTTGTGACAAATAAATTCGGGACGGAGGGGCTTCTGCGGAAAGCCTGAAAACAATGTAAATTCTCCAAAATATGACCTGATTCCGGAGTTCCTGGTACCTGGGATGCAAAGTAGTACCAACATATCCTTGTTCAGATGGTCTCTTTCCCAGCTCGAAATGTGCTTGGTACTACGTTTAGATTCATGCTAGCTGGTCCAGAGGCGGCCTTGAGCTTCGCTCACGGCGTGTCGCCAGTGAGTGCACAAGGAAAACAACGTCAAATTTCCAAAGGACTGGTGTGCAATTTCTAATTTCTGTAAGGATTGTCTAATTAGGGTTGATCGACTTTAACATATGGCCTTTGCCTTATCCGGAAAAAGAAGTTGCAAAACTGAAGATCCTGATGATATATCAAATTAAATACTCCATCAAGTTGCACAATGAACGGTTGCGTCCTGGCCCCGCAACTCTTTGGACCCTGAAATTAAAGGGTAACCCAACAGCTTTTGGTGAAGGCAAAGGGGCAGTGACCGCGATGGGTAGATACGGGGGTCATGGTGCACAGGGCTGTGGAATCCGCGTATAAAGATGTTCCATGTTCGCAGCACGGCCTTGCGGCCGCGGATCCTATGGAACAACCCTTTGGCTGTCGCCACCTCAACAAGTTTTTGGAGCGGATCGATGGCGATGACAAATAGGGTTGACGCCGAAGAAACATTATCAGGCGTGTCGTACTGCGTAAATTAAAATTGTCACCTGATCCGAACAATTTCAATCGTCTGGCTGCGGCAAGCTCGAATGCACAGCATAAAGCGCCCAAAGTTAAGTTATGCAGGTACAGAAACATGTGCCACCAACCACAACCATCCCCGAATGCACCCGAAGTCATGCAGGTAACAGAAATAGTATAAGCCACCAACCACAGGTCCACAGCCATAGTGAACTGCCGAGTGCCAAGTCTACTGCCATATACTGTAAGATATAACCCCAAAGGTTTGCCAGGACCATTTCTCAATCTGGTGAAAGCTAAACATCCAATGACATATTCGATAGACCCACGCACCCATACCAAGTGAAAGCTAAACATGCAGTGACATATTCGATAGGCCTAAGAGTAACATGCATCCGTCCCAAGTGATATGCGACATGTTAAAAGTCATCTTAAGAGCTGTCCATCTGGTTATCCGTCGAAGCTGGGGTGACTGCGCCATTGCTGATCCCTGCGGCAGGGCCGACTCCGACTCCCATTGAACCCTCGGCTCCGAAAGTGAAGTTACTGGGAACATTGTTTGGGCCGGCTCGCTCGAAAATGGATGGCACAGGAGTCTGGATGAACGCAGGCACTTGGATGTCACCTGATGGTTGTGGGAAACCAAATCCAAGTGAAGGAAATGAGTCGGTTAGGACCGTGGTCTGAGCTGGCGAGCCAGCACTGGGTCCAAAGAGCTTCTGTTCATACTCAACAAGCTGACACTGAGAAGCTGTACAGAAAAGAGTTACAGTTAGCGTATGATAACACATTTGGATTGCCCATCAATCCATACAGTTTGAAAATGCAAGAAAAAAGTTTATTGGCTGTAGTTGCTCAACTAAGTAACAGATGACTAACTTGACTGTAGTACTTTTTTGTTAGGAGAAACAATGGCAAGGAGTTGATGAGAGAAAATATAGCCAAGTTTATTGTTGGAAAATGAGATTAATCTGCATAACGGTTATCCATAGCATTCCCAGAGTCTTGCAATGAGAAAACTAACAAACAACGCATTTATTAATCTAGTTCCTTAAAATATTTTGAAGCATTCAAATGACAACACATACCCTGTACTGTAACAAAAAGGCTGGTCGAGTTTATCTTACAACAGTACAACACCAATTTCACTAGATAAGTACTACTAATGATACATTCAGTTGGCAACACATATGTGTTGGTTGACTAAAATGGATGGTCCAATTTATCTTACCACATCATTCTCATTATGTATGAGTAGCCGCTGTTACCATTCAAAAAAATTATGAATGGTTGATTGGCAGTTTTTTTAAATACACGAGAGGGATATTTGCTCACTAGACAAGGATATACAGTTACCTTCTGTTATTTGGACCTGTGGCCGTCGATCTTTTACCCACTGGAGAGACGGTGCAAGTCTCCACCCTCTAGACTTCATCAAGAAGGCTGTAACCACAGCAGCTGACCTAAAAAATGTGTTCCAGGGAAGTATTCACCAATCAGTAATATGTCCAGATAGTAATCATCAACCAATCACAATAGTGCTAACTACAAGCAAGCACCTGTTTTTCCCAGACATGCAATGGACAAGAACACGTGAAGCCCCTCTTTCACATTGCTCTGCAATTGTGATTTAGGACAAGATTAGACAAAACATCTTCATAGACAGTATGAGCACAAGGAAATCTCCTAGTTCGGTGCTGGAGAAGAAAATGCATGCTGTTCCTATTTGGTACTCCATTTGTCAATAATATAGATGAAGAGTACAAGGAAGGACCAACAGGCCTAGGACTAAGAGATTGAGTAGAACTAGTTAAATCGTACTAGGATCTAACTTCTTTCTTGACAAACATAAAACAAAATTAAGAGCAGCAAGGCTTCAAAAGTCATGTTTAAATGATTATGGCAATACGGAGCATTTTATAAGGCTAAAATGTAAGAAATATATGATGGAACAAAATAAAGCAACAATGTTGTCAGGGTTACAGTGACAACATTCAATCTATTCCAGAACAAAACGCTGAAAGCATAACATGACAATACCTAGAAACTGAGTAGCACCATCAAAATCCAATGTTTTATCATCTTGGAGGCAGTGGTAAGTGAATGAATTCCGGTAAAGATTATGGCAATCCGGCACAGTCTGTTAAACAGCACCACCGTGAGTAACCTTCAACTTAAAAATGAAGCATGGAAGCAAACAACAGAAGATAATGCCAGCATGCTAACTTCTGAATGAGTAGCAAAGGACAGGTACACTGCTATATACCAATAACTGCAATATTGATTTCCGTAGTTTATGAGAAGAATGTATTAAAGTGAGGATAGCTACACAAGAACTTCTTAGGCACAACTAGTTCGTTCATGGTTTTTCCTCTTCCACACCTCTCCATGTTTCCTGCTAGCATGATGAATGGTTGATGGTGGAAAACATATTTGTAAGGTGTAAAAAATACGAACACATACAGCCAATTCTAAAATAAATAGAAGCAGAGAGAATCAATATGACTGTCAGGCCTGCAGCCTTGCAAGAGAAATTAACCTTATAGAGAAATTAACCTTATAGAGAAAATAACCAGCAAAACTTATATTGATGAGCAAATCATCCATATAACAGCAATATTGATTATGTAATTCAAACAAGAGTTAGTTGTCAAGCTGACCTATTTTTCATGACAAGCTTAAAGCAAAAGTACGATTGTGGATTTGAAGCAAACCATCCTACTCATCCAATCTCAATAATTAAGTTGAAACCCCTAAAAACAAAAATATGACCTGATTGCAGATTTAATCCCATAATAACACCATATGAATTACTACTCACACCTATCCCTTCAAATTATATTTGCCTCTTCCCACATCCTTGCTCCTCCCACTTCCCCACGCAACCATCTAGAAGCTTTGCTTCACCTCGGCACGTAAATAATAACAGGCTCTCGACAGCGTCTAAGGCCACTAGTCCCACTCCCACCAGAGCACAGAGCATGGCACAAGAAGATACAGCATAGAAGCTTCGCCTAGGCACTGCATGGAGTGCAACCAGCCACTGCCAGCCGTGAGATACTATTCTACTTTTCAATATCATAACATGAAGTGTGTGACCTTGAGTGCTAATATTAGAGAAAACAGAAAAATATTTATTTAAAAATCATGTGAACAAGTATGATCTGAACAAGACATTTAATGTCATGTCCTATTGTTTTGCTAATTTCAGTTAGCTGAGGAACACCTGAAGTGCCAAAATATGGGTATCATAAAGGGCAACCTGGTGCATGTAGCAAAATATGGGTATCATATAAGAAAAAATATATTAGATAGTAATTAGCACCAGATGTTATTCCTCAAATTTCAGTGGTCAGCTGTGTACCCCTGATTCCAATCAGTGAACAGCACCTTTTTCCCATATAATTTTCAATCAAGCACTACACTCTAAATTTTTCCCCATTTCGGTCTTCCTATTTGATATATGGTTCAAAGAAGATATATATGGTTCAAAGAAGCCACTCATGCTATTTGTTTTCCTTTGCACCTAAGGATACTCCTGCACCTAAGGATACTCCTGCACCTAAGGATACTCCTGCACATTAAGCATTACCTTTTCTGGGAAAATAATAATTATGTTATGAATTCATCATAACTATCTTTCAAAACAACTTCATTACATTGCTTATAATAAAATAAAAGCAGTACCCATACTACAATCAAAACCTACCAAAATAACCTTTGAGGCAAGTGTAATGATGACAAATTAACTACTAAAGAAGTAGGCCATAGCTCATAAGTACCCACGATCACAAACCCTTGTACCATTGTGCAATACTCGCATCAAACCATCCCTCCTGAAGATTTTATACGAGCAACGGGATTGGGCTAATGCTACTAGAAGTACTGGATACTATATTCGCCTCCTCAACATCTAATCAGCACGCCAGGCAGACTTACACCCCTCGCATCACGCTTGAAGCAGCCCTACCGAGTCACCAAACCCTGGGGCAAAACCCCACAGAAACGAATGTCGCGCAAAAGGGCATCGCGGATCCACGCCACCACACTTCTCCGACCTCACGGCGCGGAGACGATCGAAACTGAGGAGGAAGGGGGCTCGGGAGAAGGGGCGGGGCACATTACGCACGTTGAGGATGTGGGTGATGTTGAGCGTCTTCAGGACCTCGGAGCGGGAGGCGTTGTCGTAGCTGCCGAGGAAGAGGAAGCCCTTGAGCACCTCGGAGGGGAAGGCGGAGTCGACCCTCGCCGGGGCCACCGCGTCCGCCGCGGCCGGCCTGTGGCCGCAGACCCCGCATATCTCCCCTTCCTCGCACTTGTGGTAGTGCCCGCAGACCCCGCACGGGTTCTCCCTCTCGCGCTTCCTCATCTCCCTCCGGCCGCCGCGCCGCGCCGCTCGATCTGCAGGTGTGGGATCGCCGCGGCGGCGTGGGTGCCTTGTGTTGCCCTTGGGTGGGAGGAAGCGAAGCGGAGCGGGGTCCGGTGGCGACGCGATTTTATTTTGGTTCCGAGTTTTTTTGTTTGGATTGGATCGGCTTACGTCTGCGTTGGTGTGAGGACCGGAATACCAGGAATTCTCCGATCTATTCTGAATTTCATTAACGCCTTGTTTGGTTGACATGGATTTAGGAGGGGTTTGGCAGGGTTTGAGATGGATATAATCTTCTACAAGTCAAAATCCATCCAAATCTTCTCCAGTCCTCTTGAGAAGAGGTGTAACCGAATAAGGCCTAAAACAGAGTAATTCAAGGGCTTGTTCTGGTACAATTTTGGGGATCGGAGCCAAGATACCCTGCCTTACCAGATGAACTAGGGTTTCTAACTATGCTATGAATTGGGGAAAAAAATGACTTGTGTTCCCTCACGCGACTCACGCTACATATACTCCTTTCCAGCTCACGCAGTAACTCTCCCGACAGTCACTTAACGGTTACAACATAGTAAAAAGGTTTAAAACTACTGGAGATCGGCGAGGAACCATCCGAGCCGTTGGATCGCTTGAAACGCCATCTTGTCATCTCAACCGTTGCTTGTCTGAAGCCAGAGTTGGTGTCGATCTTCAGTATGTCCTAGGTCCAGGGCCTGACAATGTCGTCGCCATGACAAACCGCCTTGTCCTCGAGGCGAAAAAGCTTGTGACCTGTGAAGGTTTTGTTGAGGAAGGTTGCATCTTCCCAAGTAGCATCATCAGGTGCGAGGCTCTCCCACTGCATTAAACATTGGCCAACCGGAGTCTTGTTGCGTTGAATCACCCTGCGGTCCAGCACAGCTACAGGAATAGTTTTGACATATCCTTATGTGGTGACCAGTGGAACATGCGGTAGAGGCACAGCTTGATGGTCTACATGTTTCTTGAGTTGGCTGATGTGAAACACTGGGTGATTGTTTGTGCCCTCTGGTAGATGCAGCTTGTAGGCAACTTCTCCAATTCTTTCCAGAATTTTGTAAGGCTCGTAGAATTTTGATCTCAGTTTCAGTGATCCTCTGAGACCAAAACCATTCTGTCTAATGGCTGGATCTTTAAATATACCATGTCTCCCACCTCAAATGTTCTTTCTGTTCTGTTTCTATCTGCAAAATGTTTCATCCTGCTCTGTGCATGTTCCAAGTTAGCTTTCAGCTTTTGCATCATTTGCTCCCTTTCTGCCATTGTTAATCTTGTTGTTGGAGACAGGGTTCTCTCTACAGCAAACTCTCTCACTTGAGGTGGTTTGTACCCATATAATGCTTGAAAAGGAGTACATTTCAAAGAAGAATGGTAACTGGTATTGTACCACAATTCAGCTAAAGGCAACCACTTCAACCATTTCTTTGGTTCTTGGAACACCATCCCTCTCAAATATGCTTCTAAATATTGATTCACTCTCTTTGTCTGGTCATCTATTTGAGGATGAGAAGCTGTACTGAATCTGATCTTCACACCAAAAGCTTGGAACAATTCTTGATACAAATTGCTTGTGAAAATGGTGACTCTGTCAGGAACAATGCAGATAAGCAGACAATGTAGTTTGATGACATTGTCCATTAGAGCTTCAAACATAGTTTGAACTGTGAAAGGACATGCGAGAGGTATGAAATGGGAGTACTTGGTTAATTTGTCCACCACTACTAGAATGACCTCTTTTCCCTGTGAATTTGGTAATGTAGTGATGAAATCCATTGTGATGTGTGCCCAGGCCATATCAGGCACATGATGTGGTTGTAGCAGTCCAGGAGGGTGAATGTGTTCAACCTTGTTCAATTGGCAAACAGGACACTGGCTGACAAATTCCTCTATGTGTTTCTTCATGTTGGGCCAATAGAACACTTTCTTTAATCTGTAGTAAGTAGCTTTACTACCAGAATGCTCTCCCAAAGCAGATGAATGGAATGTCTGTAACAACTGTTTCCTGAAATCAGTGCTTGCTCCTACATAAATCATGTTTTTGTATTTCAGCAGTCCCTTGTTTAGAGAGAACTTAGGGTTTTGATCAGTATCAACAGCTACTTTCTTTAGTAGCTTATCATTGTCCTAGTCCCCTAAATAACTTTGTGCTACATCTTCAGTCCATTTAGGAACCACCACAGTAACAGTATTGCATTGCATTGCTTTTAGTACCTCCTTCCTAGACAATGCATCAGCCACTACATTTTCCTTTCCCTTTTTATATTCAATGGTGTAAAATCATACTCCAACAACTTCAATAGCAATTTGTGTTGAACACCTTCTTTCAACCTTTGAGTTGTCATGTATTTTAGAGACTGTTGATCAGTTTTGATGATCAACTTGTTTCCCCACACATAATGTCTCCACTTTTTGTGTGCTTCTAGTATTGCCATTGGTTCTTTCTCATAAATTGATTGAGCTGCAGACTTGGGCCCTAAACTCTTGCTGAGATAAACCAGTGGTTTCCCTTTTTGCATGAGTACAACTCCAATCCCTGTTACACAAGCATCAGCTTCTATAGTAAATGACAGAGAAGTCTGGTAGTGCTAACACAGGGCAGGTTGGCATTGCTTGCTTTAAAGTGTGAAAAGCTTGTTAAGCATATTCCCACTGTAAATTATCTTTTCTGAGCATATCATGTAGAGTCTACATATTTTTCCATAATCCTTCACAAACCTTATGTAATATCCTGTTAAACCCAGAAACCCTCTTAATTTTGTGGCATTATCAGGTTCTGGCCAATCCATTACATCCTTTATTTTGCTAGGATCAGTGGATACTCCTTGATAAGAGATCACATGCCCTAGGTAATTCACTTGATTTGTTGCAAAGGTGCATTTGGACATACAATTCATGTTTTCTCAATGTGGCAAAAGTTATTTCTAAGTGACCAATGTGCTCTTCTAAGGATTTGCTGAAAATGAGCATATCATCAAAGAATACTAAGATACATTTCTTCTCCTCTGGTTCATTGATTTCTTCACACACACTGTTCATTAAACCTTGAAAAGTACCAGGTACCAGGGCCACCAGATAACCCAAAAGGTACTACATTGTATTCATAATGTCCCATGTGTGTTCTGAAAGCTGTCTTGGGAATGTCAGCAGTGGACATTCTGATTTGATGGTACCCAGATTTTAAATCTAGTTTGGAGAATACCTTAGCTCCATACTGAAAGGATCGAGAAGAGGTGTCTAGAGGGGGGTGAATAGACTCTTAGCAAGAAAAAGTTGCAGTTTTTAATTTCTTTAAGTTGAGGTGGAGTTTTAGCACATGTTTAAACATTCACAATACATATCAAGCATGCATGACAAGAGTATGTGAGTAGCGGAAAGTAAAGCATGCAATTTGCAAGAATGTAAAGAGATGGGATTTGAGTGTGCAAATGCAATTGGAGACACGGAGATTTTTGGCGTGGTTCCGATAGGTGGTGCTATCGTACATCCACGTTGATGGAGACTTCAACCCATGAAGGGTAACAGTTGCGCGAGTTTATGGAGGGCTCCACCCACGAAGGGTCCACGAAGAAGCAACCTTGTCTATCCCACCATGGCCATCGCCCACGAAGGACTTGCCTCACTAGGGTAGATCTTCACGAAGTAGGCGATCTCCTTGCCCGTACAAACTCCTTGGTTCAACTCCACAATCTTGACGGAGGCTCCCAAGTGACACCTAACCAATCTAGGAGACACCACTCTCCAAAAGGTAATAGATGGTGTGTTGATGATGAACTCCTTGCTCTTGTGCTTCAAATGATAGTCTCCCCAACACTCAACTCTCTCTCTCTCTCATAGATTTGGATTTGGTGGAAAGATGATTTGAGTGGAAAGCAAGTTGGAGAAGGATAGAGATCAAGATTTATGTGGTTGGAATGGAATATCTTGACCTCAACACATGAGTAGGTGGTTCTCTCTCAGAAAATGTATGATGGAAGTGTAGGCATGTTCTGATGGCTCTCTCCACGAATGAAGAGTGGGTGGAGGGGTATATATAGCCTCCACACAAAATCTAACCGTTACACACAATTCACCAAACTTGGGTGGGACCAAATAATGAAACTCGGTCAGACCGATTTAGTTCAAAATGTGAACGTTAGGTTTTTCGGTGGGATAGACATGTCAACTCTGTGGGACCGATTTCATTAGGGTTAGGGCATAACGTAATCTCGGTGAGACCGATTACACAAACTCGGTGGGACCGATTTTGGTAATAAGCTAACCAGAGAGTTGGTCAGGCAAACTCGGTGGGACCGATTCGCTAATCTCGGTGAGACTGAAACATTACGAAGGGGAAACAAAGAGTTTGCATTGCGAACTCAGTGGGACCGATCGCTCATCTCGGTTGGACCGAAACGTTATGAAGGGAAACATAGAGTTTGGAATCCCCTATCAGTGAGACCGAGATTCCTATCGGTGAGACAGAAGTGACTAGGGTTTGTGGCAGTGGCTATGTCAAGAGAACTCGGTGGCGCCGGATAGAATGTTTCGGTGGCGCCGAGTTTGACTTTTGGTTTGGGACATATGTGGATATGAGAAAGTGGTTGAGGGTTTTTGGAGCATATTACTAAGCATTTTGAGCAAGCAACCCATTAAGCAACACCTCATCCCCTTTTAATAGTATTGGCTTTTCCTATGGACTCAATGTGATCTTGGATCACTAAAAGTAAAATGTAGAGTCTTGAGCTTTTGAGCTTGAGCCAATCCTTTGTCCTTAGCATCTTGAAGGGGTTCCACACCCTCTTGTCCATGCCACTCCATCTGTTGAACTTGTCTGAAATATTCTAGATAAAAACATTAGTCCAACAGGAGATATGTTGACATTAATTACCAAAACCACCAGGGAGCACTTGTGCTTTCAACCTCCCCCTTTTTGGTAACTGATGACAATATACATCAAAGCTTTAGATAAAGATATAGAGAATAACAAGTAAAGCTTTGGAAAG